AGTTTGTGGTGCGTCACGGCTTTGTCTCAGCCGCCTACTTCAAACCAGCCGCATCTGACAAAGAGGTTCTTCGGCGGTGCACCGGCCGTGGAATGGAAGAACCCTGCCGTAGACCAAATACCAGGGCTATTTCTCATTGAACTACAGCCAATGAGGGCCCTCGTTACAGCCAGCTGGCTAAAACTGCCGAGAATAACTGCAAATGGCGTGCGATATCGCGTGCAGCGTGCTCGGACGCTGGCGCCGGTCATTGTTGAACCTGTGAATCACGGCAGTCGTCGCCGCCGTCACTGACCTGACCCAGCCTAAATCAGTCAGCTTCTAGCCTTGCCTAAGGGTAACGACCTGGCTGACCACACCGTGCATGTCGGCTGGAGGTTTGGGGAGCTTAAGCACTCATGGCATGCGGCTACCGTGGTGCGTTTCTTTGCCAATGTGTGCATGTGATAACGTGTGTGTTCATCAGGTGCGCTTGTGCACGGTAAGCTGCATGTGCCAATGGTGATTGCGTTTGTCGCGACAGACGCTGATAACGGGTAGATAAGTAAGGGGAAGACGGATAGTAGGTGTGTATAGTAACAAATGAGTTCACTACTTATTTTATTAGTTTATCTATATATTTATTCAGTAAGTATGTAAGTGAGTGAGAAGTAAGTAAAAAAGTGAGAGGGACTTCTTTCATGTTGATCATTTGGTTGAGGCCGTGCTTAATTGTGTCAACTAAAATTGGTGTACACTTGCTACAATGATGTTTTTGTAGTTTGGTGCTTTAGCAATCTTAACATGCGCTTGGTGTATTGTTCATGCTGTGGTTACCTACCAGGTACTCGTGTCTGTTTTCTTTTATCGGGTCGTCCTGTTCGGTAAAATGAATTGACCTACCGGGAATATGAGTTAAATCCTGATACTAAAGGATATTATTTCACGTTTTCATGGGATCTGAAATGAGAAGCACATATTCGAAATCATGTTGCTCAAAATTATGCCCTTTTAAGACATCGTCTATTCTCATCGCTGTGCTAGATGCGTACTAAGTTGTGCTGACTTTCGCGTCGCCAATTTCAAAAGCAACCAGAGATGTACGCCATAGAGATGTCAGACGAATCTATCATCGGGTCTATCGCTCGTGCCTAAATTAACAAGCCATCTTACGGCAAGTTGGAGTACTACAAGGGAGCCAGGCCGTCCGATACAGTGGCAGTTCTCACACGACCAGTCTTGCAGCGACTCTGACGTCATAAAAGCGTGACATGACGCAATCAAGCGATGACGTATTGAGGACCGTATCTATTAGATGGTGAAACTGTGTTATCTAGAGTAGTCGCTTTCATTCAAAAGTATACAAATAGTCACAAGTCAACTTTTCCATTATATCTGATGCTCGCCACATATCTTCAAAGATGGAGCATTTCCTTGAACGGAAAGCAGGCCGGAAGTAGGCGATTGAATTTGGGGGCTTGATCATGATGATCATAGTCATTGGTGTTTCAGGACTACGGTCATCACATGTCATCTTGAGCACGTGAGTTTTAAATCTCACGTCTCTGATGCGCGCAGTATCATGAGAAGAAGCAGCTATACAACATTTGGACCAACAGAGTAGCGAAGTCTAATGGAGTAAGTTCCACACATAAAACAGCAAACAACAAAGGTATGCAAGGGTAACTATCGTTCATGATGCGTGATGCATAAAGTTTGTACTTAATGGTCGAAGCCGAGGAATCTCGTCCAGCTATGGGGTTGAACAACTTGAATACCCCTTTTCATTTACCTCCTTGTCATTATGAAATTGTCTCTTATCATTCTTTCCATGCAGGATTAGCTTGTAATAGCTGCACGTTTCAAATCACTGAGGTACAATTAATTGTTCTGGTTGTATTTAAAGGAAGTGTTCCGCATCTGTATGGGGCTCTGAACTGATTTGCAATCTTGAGGACCTTTCGGTACAGTTCACAGCCCCGCTCTTCTTGGGACCTAAATCCCTCTAATTTCTGAGCTACACGCCCGCGAAAAAGAGAGCATTTCGGGAAAAATATTTCTAGCTTGGTTTAGCATTCATGGCGTCATAATAACGGCGTTTAAATCTTGCCGTTCCATAAAACGTGTCGTGAGCAAGGCCAAGGAATATATCAGGGTCGCGACGTTCATATATGGCCTTCTTGAGCGCCATTTGCAGATATGGCGGCCGTCCATTGGCTCTCAATCAATGTTGTGTAAGGTACGATGACGTGATCAAACGATGACACATTGAGGAGCATATTTACTACACAGAGAAATTGTGTTTTCTTGAACAGTCCTTTCTACTTACAAGTACACCAACAGTTATAAAGTGCGCTTGTTTCATCATATCTGATGCTTGCTCCAACATCTTCGAAAGTGAAACATTCCCTTTGATATGGTCCAAACATGACAACTCCACTTTTCCAATAACGTCGGTTCCCGAAGGTGCTCGAAGTTACCGGAGATTGGATCTCAAAGGCCCCAGTGGTAAATGCTGTCATGCATAGTTTTGACGTCTAATTTTTCTCAATTGTTCCAGGCCAAAGTCCACAAAGTCGCCACGCGAATGCAGTTTTTTTTTTTTGCACGGATGTTTCATATGGATGCAACTGTGATTAATATGCTAGCAGCGGATGCATTATCTACTCTGACATCTTTCTGTTTTTTGCCGCCGAGTTGAGGCCGTCAAATACCAGGCTTAACAGAAATCTTCAACATTTCATCACCATTTGCTGACATTTTTGCCTAAGTCATTTTACAATGCCATTGTTCTGTTTTCGTTTTATGTTGGTTGAATAGTAATCCCTTTAAGAATCATATTGTCCAGATAAGTAGATTTTAGCGGCGACAGAATGTCATGAGCTGTCATCATGTTCGGCTTGTCTGACGCTGAGGAATGTACCGAGAAAAACTTAAAAATGCGGGTCGAATTAGTTTGTAGACTCTGGCCAAAAGCGATGCTGAGGCGGCGTCATCCTGCCCAAGCTCGATCGGGGTGCAAGGAAGCCAAAAGGCCCCTCACGAAGAGGTATGGAAACTCGGGCAGACCGGCAGCTGCTTATTTCGAGGGAAGTTCTGAGGACGGTCTCGCCCAACATCATTTGATTTGCGTTTATTTGAGGCGCGCTACATACAGTATGCATTTTGAGAACGGGAAGGGAGCGACATCTACCACCGGAGGGGAGCGCCCGCCTGCAACTCTGATACAACACTGCTCGGATCCGGGGAACGAAATCAAACTGAAATGATGCTAGTATGGTACGCACGAGAAAGGGCATACGCCAAGCTCATCTCGCTAAAACACTCGGGTGCGGCGATTGCAAGCAGCTACATTTTAAAGCTCGGCTGAGTTCTCGAGGATCACAGTTAGTAGTCGCGTTTTGTGCTTTAAATTGACGCTTTAGTCGGGGTATCCAATAAACCATCCGAAAAAGAGCATCATGACTGCATCATCCAGTAGATCCAAGACGATGTAGTTGAACAACATTGCTGCCACGTCCGCCAACATTTCGTGAAATGTACAGGGAGATGAGGGGCTGCGGTGCGCTGAGTCTCGAGATTCAGCATCAAGCGCCCACGGAGCACCCAAATTGGAAGATATCGGAGTTCCCCACGGGCCGTGCGATCGCGAACGAACCGGAACCCCCTTTACCGGAATCGGAATGAACCGCAAATAAGGAGCTTGCTACCTTAGAGAAATCCGATCATGACGCCGGCAATTATTCAACCCTCGCCGCAAACGGTAGTGGGTAGAACCTGTGCCAGACCGACGTTGTGGCCGGGTTGACGTCATCGGCGTTTTTACTAAGCTGCCCGTGGAAGAGGCAATAACTGCTATCTATAACAGGATCGGGCATGACGACACGCTGCCAGAATGGAAATCTGAGCATAGTCTCCATCAACCGCCTCACGATGCTCGCCGTCAGCACCGCATACTTCCCGTGGAAAGAAAAGCTCTTGAAGACCCAGTCCGTCCTGATATCTCTGCTGACTGGCGCACCTACCTTGCGACTTACCACCCGTGGCGGGGTGGTTTCCAGCCGCTTTACAAGGTCGCATCCATGACCGGAATGACCTGCAGCAGGCGATCTCACAAAATCTCGTCAAGCATCGTAAGCACTCGACGTTCGATGCGGTTCGGTTCGGAATGTGAGCAAAAAAGCAGTTTGGCATTATGAAGTATTCTGCTTTTGCGGCCTGCGATTTATTAGGGGTTACTGGTTAAACGAATAAACGCCTTTTGACCGCATTGCGATTTTGTGGACACATCGTGATATAACACAATCTTAATAAGATACACAAATCATCGCTTGATAGTTGCGTCAAAGCAGTGCAGGAATGCTCAGCTTGACGCTCAGTACCTCTGGTGTAGTGAAGATCAGTCATCTTCAGCGGCAGATCACTACGCTTGGGTATTAAGATCGCCTTGGCTTTGTGAGCAATCTTACACACACCGCCCAACTCAGACAGAGATATTTCCAACACAGCGGACCATTGCTGCGTCTGGTGAGTGTAGACAGTCGCTGGTCTCTGACCGGCACAGACTGCACGGCCAGAAAATGGACGATGGGAAAGGAAGTTGTAAGTAACGGATATGAGCCGCTGTGCAAATTTAAAACAATCCCGGCCAGCACTTACATATTTATGCCGGACATTTCTTATTGGCAACCATTAGCGAGAGCGCCCCCGCTGTGCGAATCAGATAAGCGACGGCGTACGCCTTTCAAGCTTGCGTTCCACACCGTGCGGCCGACGGAAGTGGTGTTATTTAGTGGCCACCCAGTGCGGGCCGGGCGCGGAAGCGCCGCCATAACCAGCGGCGCGCTCTGCTTGCAGCACGGCGCGGGCGCCTCTCCGACCAGCGGCCGCGCGCCCGCCTCCCACGTGCACGACCGCACACTCACATCGACGACGTATATTTAACAGCAATCATCAAGCCCGGCCGACGGCTGGAGCATCATAATCAACACATCTCTGCCGAGCGGGGGGCGATTTTGTACGGGACGGCGCGGTGGCGGTCGGCCGACAGTGCCGAGTCGTGGGAAGCGTAGTCGTTCGCCAGCCACCATGACGCGGCACAATGGTGACATCCCTGTCGACACACTACGGCGGGCGACAGCTCGGACCCGTCAGTCGACATTCCGCGCTGACGTGCGGCAGCTTCCTGCAGCGCGCGGCGGTGCGCCGCCCGCCGCTGGCGGGCGCCTGCGACGCTAGGTCCAACTAGTGTCATCTATGGAGCGAGACGAGAGGCTGCACTGCTCCAGCTGCTGCAAGATGGCCTGCAGGTGGGAAGCGCGCCGCCGATACTGCCGGTCGATCTCGTCCAGTTTAGATTCGATGCAGCGTATCTGGGTGTTATCCTGGGAAACACATGCAGCCATGAGCCCACTCATATTCATCTGACAAGAGTTCTACAGTGGATTAAACCGGACAAAGATTACGACAAAGGCAATATGAGGCCGGCCACATGACCTCCCGGATCCTCCCGGATCCTTGTCGACCCGGAGCGAATTGCATTTGGGTCTGTAAGATATACAATTCACAAACGGTCTCTTGAAATGACAAAGCCTCCAGGTAAAGCATCTCCCGATATATCCCTTCATTCCCTTCATTTGGTACACCTCTCTGGCCGGTCTCTCTGAAGACGAGTTGGACACATTCCTGTTGCAGAAAATACTCGAGGATCAGCCGACACTAGGGTACCGTGAGCAGGTCAGAGGGAGGGGCAAATCGACACTGGGGTGCCGTCAGCAGGCCAGAGGGAGCGGTAAGTGACATTGGGGTACCGTCAGTAGGTCAGAATGAGTGGTACGCCGACACTGGGATACCGTCAGCAGGTCAGAAGGCAGGGGTAAGTCAACACTGGGGTACCATCGGCACAAAAGAAGGAGGGGTAAATCGACACTGGGGTACCGTCAGCAGGTCAGAGGGAGGGATCAGTCGACATTGGGGTACCATCAGCACAACAGATGGAGTGGTATGTCGACACTGGGATACCGTCAGCAGGTCAGAAGGCAGGGGTAAGTCAACACTGGGGTACCATCAGCACAACAGAGGGAGGAGTAACTCGACACTGGGGTACCGTCAGCAGGTCAGGAGGGGTAAGCCGATACTGGGGTACCGCCAGCAGGCCAGATGGAGGGATAAGTCGACATTGGGGTACCATCAGCACAACAGAGGGAGTGGTAAGGTCGACACTGGGATACCGTCAGCAGGTCAGAGGGAGGGGTAAGCCGACACGGGGGTATCGTCAGCACATTAGAGGGAGGGTAAGCCGACACTGAGGTGCCGTCAGCAGGTCAGGGGGCAGGGCGGTCGGGCGCTGACCGGGTTCTGCCGGTGTTTCTGTTTAGCCAGCTGCCAGTGGAGCGACTCGACCGTCTCTCGCAGTGTCTGGTTCTCGCCCTCCACCTCAGCGATCAGCCGCGTCTGCTCCTGGAACCTGTCCCACCGGTACTGCGCTCACTTACGGCGCTCACGTTGAAATCTCTGGTCTCTAACGAAACCCAATACAGACAGTGCAAAAAAAACCAGATAACTGCATCCTTCGGTGGCAGCACGTTTGGTGACCAGACTTCAAGAAGACGGAAGGCGATCAAGCGAAAATCTGATGCGAATGACTGTTTCTGCCGTCTCTCAGTGAACGCGTCACTTGAATTTATGCCACACCAAATCCATCAATACAGCATTAAGCATGCAGTGATACCTTCTTGGTCAGAGCGGTCTCCACCTTACGAATTACTAATGCGCCTGCGCATAGAGCTGTATACATTACACGTAGCACAGCGGGTGCGCCACATAAGCAGCCCAGGAAAGGCTGAGGCCCGAGGCAGAGTCCAAGACGAGCGTCGCCCACCTCCTGATGGTCTCGCGCAGGTGGTTAATGACGCCCTCCTGCGCCTCCATCTGGGAGCGAACCTCCAACAGCAGGGAGTCGCTGCGGGCCGACATCATCTGCTGGTGCTCCTCAGGGTGCTCCTGCGCCGGTCGGCAGTCCGCCAGCTGGCGCACACAGGGACGGGCCGTCACGGTCTCCGACGACGACCCGCCCAGCTAGCCGCCTGCGTCACCTCCACCGGTTCTCCTGTCCCCTGGTATCCCCCGTCCTGATATCCTTATCGATGTCACGGACCTCACGATCGATTACAAAGCTCCCGACCAGCTGTCCCAGCTCGGCACCGGAGCCCACGGTCTCACCTTCTCCAGAGCCTTCTGTTTGAGCCGCTGGAGTCGCTGTCCAGCTTCCCCTGACATTTTGCCCACTAACCGCCCCCTCCCCTCCCTCCCGACCTTGCGTCCCCACCTTTGCGCGCAGCTCGTTCCTGAGCGCGGTGATCTCGGCGTCCCGCCGCGCCACCTCCTCGTCCCGATGCACCGTCAGCTGCTCCAGCTGGCTCTTGAGCTGCACGTTCTCCTCTGTCGGCGGACGGCGGCGGCCCGTCACACCGACAGCCAGCGCTGGCGCCAGCGCTGGCGCCGCCGGACACATATCGGACCCGCCAGGCAGTGCATCCGAACAAAATCATCCGAGTGTAGCAAACGGTTGCTACCATGGGACACGCAACCGATCGCAACGCAACAAAACCGGGCTACTGCCACCAGCGCGGCAGGCCGGGTGGACGCGGCAGTGCGGTGCGCGGTGAGCGGCGCCGCGCGCGCGGCAGGTACCCTCAACGGCGGCGATGGCCATCTGCAGCTCGGTCAGCAGGGTGTCGTCGACGCGGCGCGCCCGCTCCCGGGCCGGGCTGGAGCGGCGGGACCCACCTGCCGCACGGGACACACATGGCTCAGGCGCGGCAGGCGGAGTCAGCGGGAGTGGGTCCCGGGCCGGGCTGGAGCGGCGGGACCCACCTGCCGCACGGGACACACATGGCTCGAGCGTGGCAGGCGGAGTCAGCAGGAGTGGGTCCCGGGCCGGGCTGGAGCGGCGGGACCCACCTGCCGCACGGGGCACACATGGCTCAGGCGCGGCAGGCGGAGTCAGCGGGAGTGGGTCCCGGGCCGGGCTGGAGCGGCGGGACCCGCCTGCCGCACGGGACACACATGGCTCAGGCGCGGCAGGCGGAGTCAGCATGAGTGGGGCGTGGTCCAGCCAGCGATCGGCTGGGACGGCTGCCTGTTCACAGCTCGGCACGCCGCGCCGGGTGAAGGCGCCGTTTGACCGCAGTTTTGGATGCGTCTTGGCACGCTGCCATCCGTCCAGATCAACATTTTCGGAACTTCGAAGTCTTCAGGCGGCTTTGACCCCTTTCGCTTATAAGAGTGGCGGCATTATGCTCAAAATGACGAGTGGGAGGGCCAAGACGCGTCCGTTGGTGGCCGTCAGTCGGTAGCAAAATGGAAAAAGATTGATGCATACGCATATGCAACCACCCTATCCGTGCGACCCACCTTCGCTTGGTCATTCATCCAGAACGGTGGACGGACAGTCATTAAAAAACTGATCCGTGGTGATGATGGTGACTTAAGGTTTTAGGACACATATTTATCAAAGGTCATATTGCGCCCTAGGTCCAGGGATTATAGACATTAAACCGATACCAAGAACCACTCAATTTGCCAAGAACACGATCAAGGACAACGAGGCAGGTTCACAAGTGACATCAGTGCCAAAAACAGCCAGGGGCGGTCTCAGCGTCGACCAAACGGCAGCAGGCGCAGCCGGCCTCACGCACCAGGAGTCTTCTCCGGCGTGCGGGCGGCAGCGGCCAGCAGCAGCTTCTGACGCTCGCGCTGCAGGCCTGTGACGGTGCGCTGGCTCTTCTCCAGCTGGCGGCGCGTCTGCGTCACCAGCCGGTCGCGGTCCGCCAGCTGCGCCTTCAGCTGCCAGTCGGACGCGCCGCGCTCCGGTCAGGCGGCGCGGCGCCACCAGCGCACCACCAGGTGGCTCTGCACGTGGGCGGCCGCAGTACCGTAACGACGCAACAGATGCGAGTGCAGCTTTCGAAATAGCGTCGCACACCTGGGCATCGTTATTTAGATAGCAAAGACATTCAAATCATACAGGCCAAACGCCAAGATCAAACGCAGGTTTGTTCTGCCCGCCCGCAGTTGCCACAGGCGGGCAATTTCAGCGCTCTAGGGGGACACTGGGACAATCAAGCAGACACTAGACAATGCCGGGGGGGGGGGGGGGGGGGGCAGCGCGGCGCCGGTATGGCCAAGAGGGCCGTGCGCACCGCCGGCGGGACCCACCCGTCGGACGGCGGCCATCAGGTCCGCGTCGGCGCGCGGAGGCGACGACGACTGCAGTCGGCGAAGCCGGCCCTCCAGCGTCCGCGCCTTGGCGTCGTACGATTTCTATGACAGCAGACGCAACCGTTAACGCAGCCGGCGCTGTGCGAACGCGTGGGTACGAGGGTGGGCTGGGTACGAGGGTGGGGTGGGTGCGAACGTGTGGGTGCGAGGGCGTATCCTCACCGCCTCATCGGCTTGACTAGGCTGCTATTGCCACAGCGTCATTCACATTCACACAGGCCTGCAAATATCACGACGCAGCACTCAGCAAATATCACACAGCCAACTCGCACGCAATACAGATGAGAAAATCTGCTGAAGCAATACAACATACCATTGATTACGAGGGATGTTTCTTGAACTATGGGGCAATTCAGGCCGTCCTGCCCTTCATGATTTTTGAAACGTTTTCAACCACTTTTCGCAGGATTACCAGTTTTAAAAACAATAAGCGCAGTTACTTTGTAGCTGTGGTGTTGCAGCGCTTGACGTTTGCACGTGGCCCTCAGTTCAGGCGGGGATAGCCTGCGACGTCCCATCATCACCGCTATCTAATCTCCCCATTCGATTCACAAGGAATACGCAGTTTTCCAGCTAACAAAAGGACTGAGAAACACCGGAGGCTGAAGTCAGGCCCACACCTCAACGCCCCAGCGCCGAAGATGAAAAATCGGACTGATAAGCGTGTAAATGTATGCCTGCAGACGGTTACGAACTCCCGCGCGAAAAGCATCGGCCCACCTGTTTTGGGGTGTTTTTAAGGATCGAAGTCAGATCTCAACAACCAGGGCAGATGAACACCTGGAAGCAACTGCATACGGCAGGCAGGCCACTGTACCGGCTACGTTTCCATATTCACTGACCTGGAAACTGCGCCGACACAAACATTCTACAGAATGAATGCGTTCTTTTCGGCCGCGGTTGCCAAACCCTGGTCATTGCAAGTTCATGGACTTTGGCTAGCTGAAATTGCCAAGCTCGGCTAGACTCATGGCAGCCAATTTTCAAGCCACGATACTCGTAAAACAGCACGAATGATCCGTCAGTGGAACTCTGCTAAACCCTCAAAAAATCGGCGGATTCCAGACGCGTCGGCGCGGGTCGGCACGGTGTCGAATCCAAAAGCTTGATTTTAAAAGCGTCCACATCATGCAAATTGGTGACTCTTATGTCTTTTATCGCTTCGATCGCCCAACCTCATATAAGTTGAGTCAACGATGCGCTATTAATCGTAGCTAAAGTCCCGATTATCGTTGCGACCCTTCGTACAAGGCGAGCAGCCACGCTAAACCACGCTCCTAGAACACGCCGGCACGGCACTGGGTCTGCCTACAGATCATCTCTGCATTCGCGTACTCAGCATACCTTCATCGGCAGGCTCGTGTCCCTGCCTCCCGTGCCGCGCCGTGACACCCTCGCCGCGGCTCTCCCGGGGACGGAGCTCCGTCCCTGCCCTCCCGTCTGACGGGGCCCTCCGCAGCGGCGGCGCCTGACATCGGTCAGACGGCGCCGCGCCACGCCACCCTCCCACCGGTGCCACGCCGACCTGACGCACCGACGGCTGCTCGACTCTCCAGGTGAAGTGAGAGCAACCGCAAACTGCTCGCTGAACCCAGCTCCCATGGAAATTGCTGCTGCCGTTTTTCCACCGCCCACCATTGCCAAAGGCGTGCTCCTGGCCACCCGCTGGCCTGGTGCGGCCAGAGCGTTGCCGGTGACGTCACCTTGAGCTCGGCCTCCCTGGCGGCCGCCTGCTGGCCGGCCTCCTGCATGCGCAGCTCGGCCTGCAGCAGCGCCGTGTTCAGGGCGCGCCGCTCGGCAGCCACGGCGGCCGCCAGCCGCTCCGGTGAGGCCGGCGCCGGTGCCGACGCCGGCGTCTCCGTCTGGCAGGCCGCGCTCGCCGTCGGGGGCCGCCGGGGCGTCGACTGGCGCGTCACCTGGCGGCGCAGGCGGAAAACCAGGCTGTACACGGGCGAACGCAGCCGCTCTTGGGTACGCGTCGTGCCGCTCACTCACGAAATCGCCCTCACACCCACATACTGGCTTGCGCACCGAGACCCGCATGTACATACAGACATACCCAGGCACAGTAGATGGTATGTGCACACAGGCAGGCATGCGTGAGGGCACAGCCGCGGCGGTCAGGCATCATGTGTCGGTGGGGTGAGACACCAGAGCCTGGGACGGGAGTCGTCAGCGCCGCTACGGACGACCCCACTCGCCACCTCGTCGGTCACTCGACGCAACGGGCGACCGCTGCTCGTGAGTCACCGGCTGTCTCGAGCGCACGGGGGCCACGATCGCCCCACTAGTCACCAGGGCAGCGCCGGTCATCGGTCAGCAGTCGTCTCATCTGATTGTCGCTAGTGACGCCGGCTCCCGGCACGTGCGACATTCAGACCATGAGCGCGAGGACGCGTCTCGTGTCTCATGCTTGACCTGTGCTTGTGGTCAGTAATGTCGCCAAGGTCCTGAGGTGTCACGCAGTCTGCAGTACGAACAGTCCTGGACTGTGAGGATGTGCATCGAGCTGGCGGCCCGGGACCGCGATTAGCCGGCCGCTTCCATGTTCAGATAATGACCTCCATTGTACCTACCACTGTACGAGCGGATGCCGCGTTAGCAGCGTCTCGAGATCCGCCGCACTTTGAGCAGTTATACGTCCGAGCAGATCCAGTATAATTTTGAGAACCCGTACCCGAACATTTTCGGGAATGACGTTGGGATCAGAGCCGTCACTAAGCAGAGATTGCTGAGGGGACCCTGACCACACCACGGCAGAAGCGCATGCCAGGACAACGAAACATTTTCTCCAACAGACTGCAGTGTGCCAGCCCACGCAGCGATGAGGCTGCCCCAGTTTCAGCCTGGTTCGCTTAGACACTAGCTAAATGACCGTTACGCACGAACCACGTGAGTGTGGCGTCTCGCAGGCGGACACACACGCCTACTATACAACGGTGGCAGGGAGTGCGCGGCACTCTACCAACTGGACCACAGGACCGGCCCTGGAATATTGCATGATACCCCTCCAAGCCTGCGTTGGCGAAGCATCTGTTAAAAACAACATTCGCTTTTCAAGTCAACACCAAGTATACAGATGTCTATGGTACGCCCGGAAGGGTGCTCCTACGTCACCACCAGTGGACTCCAGGCGTCGGCGAAGCTGAGCTCCCCGCCGTCAGTTGTCTGGATGGGCTCCCCGTCGGCCGCGGCCGCCAGCCTAGGGCTGGCCGGACGGCTGTGCTGATAGGCAGGGTTATGGGGAGTCTAGAGGCGGGCGGGCGTGGTGAGCTGGGAGGCAGGGGATGGGAGAGTCGGAAGGCGAACGGGCGGGTTGAGCCCGGAGGCAGGAGATGGGGGAGTCGGGAGGCTAGCGGACGGGGTGAGCTGGGAGGCATGGGGGAGTCGGGAGACGAGCAGGCAGGATGGGCTGGGAGGCAGGGGGGAGTCGGGAGGCGAGCAATGTGGTCAGCTGAGACAAGGGGGACGAGGGAGTCGGGAGGCTAGCGAGCGTGGTGAGCTGGGAGGCATGGGGGAGTCGGGAAGCGAGCAGGCAGGATGAGCTGGGAGGCAGGGGGGAGTCGGGAAGCGAGCGGTGGGGTCAGCTGAAAGAAAAGGGGGATGGGGGAGTCGGGAGGCGAGCGGGCAGGGTGAGCTCGGAGGTCACATAGCTGAGCAGGGCGCCGCCGCCGCTGGCGCGTGACAGGGCCACACCTTGTCGTGCAACCGGGCGACCTCCTGGCCGGCCTTCTGCACCTCCTGCCAGCGCCGCTCCAGCTCCAGCCGCCGGCTCTGGAGCTCTTGCTCTTCAGGGCCGGCTGGCGGCGCGCGCTGGCTCGCCTGAAGCCGCGCCTCCAGCACGCGCTTGTCGCACTGCAGGTCATCTATGACCTGATCCAGGTCGACACGCTCGTTCTGCAACAGCAGACGGGCGGCTCACGTTATCAGGTCATCCGACAGAGGTCACAGAGGTCACAGAGCCGCCGCGACAATCCGTGTGAACCCGTGCATACGACTCCTTGCCGCAGCGTCGACGCTCGAGTGATTCAACACCTCAGCAAATCTGACGAGCTTCCTCAGAAGCGTTGAACACCAGTGCGCGTGTGCGCTTGCATGCGGTGCCTGCGGGAGCATGTGACATGGTAGCAATGGTGTACCAAAAGGACACGCTCGGGCTGCCAGTGAGCCGCATGGATGCCATAACATACGAGTGCAGCGCCAGGCAGCTGACGGAGCGGTTGTCGCGCGGGATGACCGCGGTCGGGGAGCCGTCAACAGTCAACAGTACAGTGGCGACAGTCGGCCGGCCCCTGACGCCGCCTCCAGCTCTGCCCGCCCAGGTCACCCCGTGCACGGTGAGTCGACAGAGGGCCGCCCTGCTGACGCCAACAGACCGCCGGCCGGACCAGTATCGGCCCACCACACAGCAGCCGTCACAGTCCCGCGTCCTGGCTGCCTCAGCACCACAGCGCCGTCACGTGACGTCACAGACCGCCCCGCCGCTGTTCACCGGACGCGGTCCAGCGGCAGGATGCTGTGACGTCATAGCTCGCCGCCGCCGCCGCCGATAACGCCCGATGCCACAGCGGTGAGCGGCGCGGACGCGACGGCTGGCGGCAGCGGCGGCGCAGCCAGCGGGCGGCTGCGGCGCACAGCCTGTCGGCTGACGGCGTCCGTCGACATGGTAAGCCTGCGCCCTCGGGCTCCCGCGCCTCACGGCACGCGCACACTCCGTCCCGCTCGCCGCGATAGTGACAGGACCTGAGACCGGGCCTCCTGTCGGATCGCACACTCTGTCCCGCTCGCCGCGATAGTGACAGGACCTGAGACCGGGCCTCCTGTCGGATCGCACACTCCGTCCCGCTCGCCGCGATATTGACAGGACCTGAGACCGGGCCTCCTGTCGGATCGCGCACTCCGTCCCGCTCGCCGCGATATTGACAGGACCTGAGACCGGGCCTCCTGTCGGATCGCACACTCCGTCCCGCTCGCCGCGATAGTGACAGGACCTGAGACCGGGCCTCCTGTCGGATCGCACACTCTGTCCCGCTCGCCGCGATAGTGACAGGACCTGAGACCGGGCCTCCTGTCGGATCGCACACTCCGTCCCGCTCGCCGCGATATTGACAGGACCTGAGACCGGGCCTCCTGTCGGATCGCGCACTCCGTCCCGCTCGCCGCGATATTGACAGGACCTGAGACCGAGCCTCCTGTCGGATCGCACACTCCGTCCCGCTCGCCGCGATATTGACAGGACCTGAGACCGGGCCTCCTGTCGGATCGCACACTCCGTCCCGCTCGTCGCGATATTGGCAGGACCCGAGACCGGGCCTCCTGTCGGATCGCGCACTCTGAACCATCGCATAGCACAGCGCATCGGCTTTGATGCGTGGACATGTCGGCGAAGGAAGTGTGTCGGTATTTAACATGAGCGAGGAAGGCTTGAGTTCCCGGTTTGTCGGTATTGTGAGATCAGAGATGCACCGCTGATAGCTATCGACTTTCAATGTACCAGGAGTTCAACAGGTAATGGCAAAGCGCAGACACTGGTTCCGTTGTCAATGCTCAACGTTCCAAGCTGCGCTTGAAAGCACAAAATCGATACGAACGACCGCAGTGATCGATCATAAGCGCAACTTGAAACGTCGAACAGCGACGGTATAACCAATGCTTGCTTGATATCGTCGTTTAGCCAGTGTCTCCTGGTACGTTGGAGGTCCCTGTAACTGTCAACAAAAGAAGTCAAAAATTATCACGCACCAGTACTGCCAGACCGCGTGTATGACAGCAATGCGGTCAGAATAAAAACGAGGCGGTGCTTGGCATGGCCGGATGAATACGAACGCAACGCGCGGCGCTAACCGCGGATACCAAGCAACAGGCCTGCCTCCAAACAAGGGCCAACAGCGCTGTAGTCCAAAAATGGTTGATGGTGTCCACGATGCATATGATGACGATACACCATGAGCATTCCAGTCTCAAAACGGCAGCACACTAGGATGCGTTTAGGGAACAAGTAGGGTCCACCTCGCCGTTTATTACGACCTTCATAGAAGTAAGCCCATGGACATCGTGTCTATTGCCGTAGTGCTGTCCTGGATATATTTGCGATAATAATATTTGTGTCGACATTCCTGGTGCATTCACAGAGCAAAACTTTTGTAATCGCGTACTGGGTTCTACCGTCAAAAGATCCCACGTGTTCTCATTTTAAATGTAACTCCTTTTAAGTCGCTTGGAGAGTGTTGTGTATATCGTATTCAAAGTGAACAAGCTGCTTCATAAGGCTACGGCTGAACCCAGGACACGCTGTCACCGTTCCTCGCGACGGACGAGCGCGAGTCCACGCCCTCCTCCTCATCTGCGCCGCCCGCCGGCTGTGGGCGCGGTACACCACGTGACGGCACCCGCGGCACCCGCCCATCCTGCCGGGCTGGCAGGCCGGCGACGCCACGCAGGGTCGGCAGCTTAGAGCGCCGTTCAGCTCCGATGACACACAGACGGGCCCGCGTCCTCGTGGACAAACTCAGAGCCGTTCACAGAGCGCCGGGCGTGCGTGCAGCGCACTGGAGAATCACTGAGCCCGCGGTGATGACGATGATTGGGGCTTTACGGCGTGCCGACTACCGTGGGATTGTGCGTCCGAGCGCAGCATCATCTGTGACGGCGCGGCGACTCCGCGGCGGTGGCGACGTAGTGGCGACGGCAGGCGGGAGGCCATCGCCCAACCGAGAGGAGACGAGCCGACAGCACCCTCCACCCACCGAAGGCAAAGCAAAACCTGAGATGGCGCATGACGAACGGGGCACCTGCATGTAGAAGGCAGGTGTCCCGGGACACCTGTCTTCTACAGCGAACGGAGTTCCGCGAGAACATTCAGACCCAGTTCGAGCGACTCAACATCACGTCCTCGCATTTGGAGGAGCGTGTCGAGGCCACAGACATCACGGCTGACAATCTGCAAGATGCCCGAGAAGAGACCGCCCTCCCTTACGACCCAACTGAGCTCGCCGGGATGGACTGATGCCATGGAACTGTCAGAGCAGCGGCCGCGGCACTCCGCTCGGCTCGACTGCGGCCCGCCCCTGCCCGGGTGACGCCCTGGCGCCGCGCCGCTCGGCTCGACTACGGCCCGCCCCTGCCCGGATAACGCCCTAGCGCCGCGCCGCTCGGCTCGACTGCGGCCCGGCCTGCCCGGGTGACGCCCTAGCGCCGCGCCGCTCGGCTCGACTGCAGCCCGACCTGCCCGGGTGACGCCCTAGAGCCGCGCCGCTCGGCTCGACTGCAGCCCGCCCCTGCCCGGGTGACGCCCCTAGCGCCGCGCCGCTCGGTTGCGGCCGCCCCTGCCCGCGGCGCTGGGTGCGCCGCCCAGCACAGCACGCGCGGCGCCAGCAGCGGATATCCGGGGGACGTTGGCACGCTGGCGATCCGCGCACCACCTCGCCGTCTTCCGGGCATGTGCGTGGCTGAAAGCAACAACATGGGCCGCGTCGCTGGCGGCCGGGACCGAACGGTGGTGTCGCCGCCTGGTGGACGAGATCCGAGACAGCCTGAGTCTGCCATCAGATGGTGCGGAGCAAGCTGGAGCTATGCGGCAAGGAACACCTCTTCAGCAGTGAGTCTCATGCTGTTGAGTGGCAAAATACGGTGACGTTCAAACACGGCCAAAGCGCGAACTTAACTGTTAATCTTTTTCATATTTAATCCGAGTCTTTTTGCATGTATGGATTTCTGTGATCAGATCTCGCGCTCAGCTGCTTGCTATGTGAGCGCTGACCCTACCATCAGACCATGCGATTGCAGGTCAACGACAGAATCTGGTGCAAACGTACAACGAGCCACAATGCTCGGCGTGATCCGAACTTCCCTCTGACGTCACCTGATCTTGAGTGCGGCCGCTGCCGCCGGAAGCAGACCATATTTGTCAGTGACAAATATCGAGCGCCTAAAGCGACTCGAACTCACCTCGCCACAGGTGGGTGTATCAGAAAGCATGCGCTCTAAGCCAGTTGAGCTAAGGGGACGGACGGACGCACTTTTCACGCCACGCGAGCCTGCCTTCCCACTTTTCACACAATATGCAGCCTGCCCACACCACTTACAGCCTGGGTAGACCTTCAAGTCCGGGCAGTACGTCGCCGTGCATAGGTGAACATGCCCGATCAGTGCGGACAGCTCGGGTGTTCCTTCATCGCACAAGAAACGTGCAGGTGACCCCGGTGTAAGGGCTTTCGTGCCGTGCTTTCTGTGGGTTCGCCGTGCCTTGGTGTCTGTTGACGGCCATTGCTCCGTGCATTCACTAAATCATTGCAAAATGGCGCATGATCAAACCGTACTCCGGCCCAATAACACGCATGTGCTGCCCCCCGCTGGTATTCAGCCCTTGGGCCCGCCTGACCCCTCTCACATACCTCGGGAGGCCGGAGTTGACACAAGACACGGTCCCGACCTCGGCCCTGGTGCGGCCACGCGGATCCAGCCAGACAGGGTCACACCGGGAGACCCGAGTTGACCTGACGCGCGGCCCGACCTCGGCCTTGGTGAGGCCACGCCGCTCCAGCCGGACAGGGCCGCATCGGGAGACCTGAGTTGACCTGACGCGCGGTCCCTACCCCGGCCTTGGTACAGCCGCGCGGCCCCAGCCAGACAGGGCCACATCGGGAGACCTGAGTTGACTGACCTGACGAAATTTCGCGATTTTTTATGCATGTTTCCTGACGACGTACCGCCAATTCCATCCATACCGAGTAACCAGCATCCGTTTAACATCCATGGGTTCTGGTCAACGGTAGGATGGGCACCTCCGCCACGCCCCGTCCGCTCCCATTCAAAACAACTTTTGTGCGGCGGATCTGCTTCTGGTGTGCAAATGTCGGGTGAGAGAAGATTCAACTAGCTCGGCAGCTTTCCCGAGCATCTTCATGTGTTTCCTGGCCCACACAAATTTTCCGCTCAGAATGCCCTTGGCCTCAGTCCTCTACCGTCAGCCTGTACTGGTAGCCCAATTTCGTGAGAAAAAAAAACTGTACTACGCTGAACCTTTGCAGTGCATTTCACGAAATCCCATCGATAAGCCTTGATAATTTCAGAATGCAAGCCTGCATATCACCAAGGGATGTCACGGAACTTCATCCTCGAGCTTGCAACAGACCATCTACGGTGCCAGATACATTACGAGTTATAAGACAATTTCCCACATACTGAAAGAATGGCGAAAATAATGGTTCTCGGCACGTGACGTGCCGCCCATTTGGGGCCGTGGCGCCATGAGCTATGGTAGCCTCACGCCGCCTAGCATGTGGTCGGCGCACAGTGAGTGATCGGGCGGCCCGAGACGCTGGGACGCTCCGAAGGCGTGCCTACATGTCCACCAGTCGCGCCCGAGGCGTCGAGCAATAAGGAGGAACCCGTCCATATGCGTCCATTTCTGCGGTGTGCTTCCCCGAACTAGCTGTGACAACTGCAACATGGTGCAAGTGACAGGATCGATTGCCATGAACACGGACGTCTTCGCCCAGACCTTCTCCTGCCTGATGGACGCGCTGCATGACCACGTCGAGGCCTCAGCGCAACAGGGAGGAGCGGCTACCGGCGCTGGCTGAATCAGCCAGCCAGGCCGGATAAAACCCGGACGACCGACTCCTACCGACCGACTCGACCGATGCTGGCCACACGGACACCCCCGCTGCTAGCCCCGGTCTAGCAGCCCCGAGCGGCACGAGACGGCCGGGTGCGACGGCGACACCCGTCCCCAGGCTGATGGAGGGTGTCAGCCGGCGTGAGTTTGCGTCATGGCGAGTCAAGTTTGAGGGATATGCCATCCTCATCAGTCTGTACGGCCTCCCGCCGGCGGGCCGAAGCGCCGCACTCGTCGCTCTGGTGGACGACCAGTGGACGCGAACACTCCGTCTTGGCCTGGATGTCCGTGACAACTGCGACAGTTCTGAAAGCGGTTACCTCCGGGTCGCCCTGAGGTCACTTTACATATATTCAGCGCTACTGCAACGCAATTCCTCAGTGAACAAGATGGTGGGTGCATCACAACATCCAGCTCCCAAAGAAACGAACAACAGCATTGAGCATGCGTGTGCTCGTTCTTAAAACGTAGTTATGGAAGGTTAACACCGGGGCGTCCGACCGCAGCGCGCGGCGGTCGCAGTTCCCGCCCTCCGCACGCAGCCGGACGGGCCCGACATCCGCCTCGGCACCAGACGTAAACAGGCTGTTAGCCAAGCCTCTGTTTGCGGTAGAAGTGGAACAACGTGGGCGTTGGAGGAAGGAAGTTATTGGTGTTTAGGGAGCGCGCTGAGTGATCAGGCCATTCTGCGCCCACAACGATGTGCTTACGTCCTTCGCGAGGTGTGTACATCACATTAAACTCAACGTCTGCTAGAAACGAGAACGGCTGTTTTGATTCCAGAAAGCCGCAACTGTCACCCAGGGCGTCCAACACGGAGCAGGACATCCAAAGCGTCGTATCCAGTCCCTTGCAAACTGAGGACGAGCGGAGAGCACGTGATTTACTATGAGGTAAGCGCCTATCCACGCAGAGGCCTCCTAGCAGAGCGCAACAGGGACCGTGAGGCGCATGTGAAATGTCACCACGCATCTGCAAGAAATCACGTCTTCCCTTCTTCCTTTGCAGCAGAAAGATGGCCACAGACCCATCTCAGGTTGCGTGGCCTTGTGTTTATTGCTCGCCGGATCATCACAGTAGCACTGCCATGTGCTGTGCAGGAATGTTCTGATTGCTGGGTAAATGTCTCTGGCAGGGATTGGTAAAGGCCGTGTCCATGGTGTCTGTGCTGCTCGCCTCCCAGCAGCGTCAGCCAGATATTTTCCAGCGATTCAGACTTGCTGGAACACCGCAAAGGACAATTAACCCTCTTCCCAGCCCTATCCAATGCTCCACAAGCGGATTTCCCTCCGCTTGGTGACATTGTAGATGCTCCTGTGCCAACTTGAGCCCTTCCTCCTTGTGGCGATGCGTCAGCTGGTTTGCCACCCGCCTTGAGGCAAGATTGGTCGTCTTCCGGTGATGACGAATGAAACGGACCGTTTTGCTGTTTTCGCTTTTCGCTCGCGGTGGACTGTTTTCGTGGACTTGTTCGCCATACCAAGACTCTGAGTCATCTGGCCGATTTGCCATACGACGATCCTCCATCACCACAGCTTCCACCTCGGTCACGTGGGAGGGGTCAGTCTGCGCCGCGGGTCTCTCGGAGCGTTAGGGGCCTCGCGCACTGACCCTGCCCGCCCCGAGCTTCTGCACCCACCTGCTTTGACTCGGCACAGGCGTTACCTCCATTATCACAGCCTCCACCTCGGTCAGGTGGGAGGGGTCAGTCTGCGCTGCGGGTCTCTCGGAGCGTTAGGGGCCTCGCGCACTGACCCCCGCCCGCCTCGAGCTTCTGCACCCACCTGCTTTGACTCAGCACAGGTGTCACCGCCATAATTCGAAGCGTCCCACATGCAAACCAGTGTCGAAATGAAAACCAAATTGTGGGCAGTTGACAAAAATACCTCCGAAATACAGCTGTATCTCTCAGACGAGGCTAGGCACAGCGCTGAGATCTTCTATGTGCCCAGAGAACACGTTCAACCTATAGTCATTTAAATTGCTTCCATACTGTTTTTAAAGTATTCCGCTGTACTATAACCGGAAGAAAAATTGTCGCACAGAATCATACGAAGAACTACAACTTACTTCTGGAATGCACCTTGCACAAGGAAATGCCCCTGCCTGGATACAGCTTACCGTTAGCCACACATAAGAAATGTTTGGTCAATTGGAGCATTGCTTAAATTGTATCTTCCCCTACACACATTTTGTCAACAGCATATCATTCCTACTAATGTACAACGGAGGCCGGTGTACTGATCTGGGCGGCCAGCCAGCGTCCCGCCAGGCCACTGTATGATGGCCGGGCTCACCCCGCGGCAGTTAACCCGCTCGGCCACGCCACCAACTCCGGCGCTGCCGCACAGGTCAACAGCATTTGGTATTTGACTGTCGCCGTGCTCTCGCACGGCTACCGGTGCGTGGCGACATCTATCGGCCCGCGCAGTGAACTATGGTCGATGCCCTTCGCAGTCCGCCCTCCACGCCGCCCGTGCCGCGAATGGGGTGCGGCAAACGCGAGCTGCCGGAACCGTACAGTCTCGAAACGTCACTGCGACGGGGCAGACCATGTGTGGAAGTAGAACCGTTACAGTTTCAGTGCTAATTAGCGGGTTCGATCGCTGTATGAGAGCTTATTGGGGTTGTCAGAACGGTCAGGTCTGCACCATGCTAACAAAGCTCACACGCTGACGCTGCGCCACGGCTATGTTACCAGTCCGCACTGACCAGGACATGAGGCACAAAAACAACGTTCCTGCATCCGATGCGCGGAATGAGAAGGGGGCATGCGAAATGCACGTTCGCCACCCGGCTCATTCCAGCAGGTTGAGTATGGACGAGCCGCAGTACGCGTCTCTCCGCCGACGGCATGTTTCCAGCGGCCCGCACGCAGACAAAGCGGGCCGGTTTCAGTGTCAGAGACTGTACTCTGAGTGGTGCAAGAACAGGTCCGCCGATGGTGGCGTCTGGAGCGGCACGCGGGGAGTGCGGGGAGGCGCGCTCGCAGCGGCGTTATCCGTACTTTGTGCACATTGGGCTCGTTCCCCGTCACAAGGGGGAACAGTGTCATTGACAAGGATAGTCAGCGGCACATCGTCAGGGGCAGTGCCTCCCAAATACAGACAAGATGGCTGGCAGCTATGGGGTATACGATTTGAGGTAAGTGGGGTCCGGGTCCCAATTCCCACTGCCAAACGCTGTCCCCGAGTTAGACCGATGACGTCACAGGTTAGGGCGTCACTGCAGTTCCTACAGCCTACAGTTAGCGCCTACGATGCAGCCACGCTTGCGTGGCGTCAGGAGTTGCGTCAGGGTACCTTTCCTACTGTGGGCCCGGGAAAGTTGCTTTATTTTAGTTCGCCGCCAGCGAGCGGCAGCAATCCCACAATCCGACTCTTGGCCCGCCCGCCGGCGACGCGCTTGTTTTGTTCTCTGGACTGACCGGCATCGTCGTGGCCAGGTCAACAAAGGACTGCCTCCATGGGTACAGGGGTTGCGGGTATTGTACCACCTTACCGCTTCAATGAACCCGCGCGAAGTGGCTGCAGAAAAGGATATGGACTATCTTGTTCGAGCAACCTTTGCTCACACTCACACTAAAACAAAATGTTAAGACTAAGAACGTGAAAATGCTAAGGCCACTAATGCAGCTTGCTAGCACAAATCTTGAGCCAGAAGGGCATTCTCGCTGTTCGTACGTGCTTGCCGATTTTGTTTGAGTTTCAGCATTTTTGTTGCAAAAAAACGTAGCCTGCCTTATAAACAAACCGTACTGCTCATGTCTGCACTTCTGAGATTTTCTTTTTCATCAAATACCTGCGACAGCAGCGGAAGATGGTAAAACCGCCCGCGCCATCCCCTTCTTAACTCTCTCGCGAGCCGGATGGGAGACCAGAGGTGGGCAGGATAGTCTGTGGCTGTGTGCGTTTCTTCAGTCTCAAAAGCGGGATCAGTGGCCGTCGGTGTTTCTGCCGTCAACGAACTGGAGCCATCAGCAGTTTGCCTCTCTCCTGTCACCGGAATGGAGTCGGAGACCAAATATGTCACCCAATGAGCAGAGCAGAATCTGCGGTCGTCTGCGTCTCCTCCATCACCACGTAGAGGCTGCGGCCGTCTGCGTCTTCTCTATCAGCAGAACAGTGTCCGGTATGGGTCTCTTCCACCAGCAGAACAGCGTCGGTGCCTCTGCGTCTCTCCGGTCAGCAGGGCATTCAGCGGGAGGCGGGGTCTCAGCCGAGCTCACAGAGGAGCCGTCCCAAGGTCGTCAACCGCGCCTGCCCGGTGCACTGTAAACAGACCGGCTGGCCGGTAGCGCACATGGCGGGGGGGGGGGGGGGGGGGGGAGCTCACCGGAAGGGCGGGGACGACCACTCAGCGACACAACCGACATGGTGTGTACGGGAACAGCTGTCCCAGCGCGTGATGGTCTGGTGGCGGTAGTTTAAAGTGAATGCTCTGCATTTCAGGATATTGAAGCAACCTTCAGATGTGATAAAATGAGCTCACTTATAACTATTGGTATACCTTTAAGTGGAAAACTGCTCTAGACAACACAGTTTTTTCTACTTGATTAATATGCTCAATGTGCTATAGTTTGATTGCGTCATGGAACGTCTGTATGACCGCACTCACCTGTAGTTCTTCCACCTCTCGAGAGGTGAACTATGGCGGTGCAAGATGTGTGCTGAATCAAATATCGCTGGCTGCTCGTGCTTTGGCCTTTTCTCGTGGTGCTCTTGCATATTATCTATCCGTGATTTTAAGGTGTATACTTGTATTCACATATTCAGTTACAACGCTATTTTTAAGTTACTCGATCACAGGTCTTATTTCTGTAATAACTAGGACGAATGTATTTCTTGCGTTATGTCGCACAAAACGTAATTCGTGTCAGAGCATCCGACCCCTTTATCCTTTTCCTTGCTTTCCCCTGAATCCCTGCGACGCCCCGCTTGTCCGGGGCAGGCTGCATGCGTTATCCATGGGTGGGCCGAGAAAATAGCGTTCATGTGACGTCATAGATGTCTTCGGAAACTTTGAGAACGTCCGCCCCAAAATAATTTGCACATTTTCGTGAGCGTGTAGCCCGAAGGATTTTGAGTTTCAAGAAGCGCAGGGCTTTGAATTGCACCAATGATCTTCAGGATGGCTATTTCAGTTCAAATCCCCATCCAAGTGTGGAACACTCCCTTGAAAAAAAAAACTGCCTCAGAGAGGAACGGAAGATCTGACGCACTGAGAACATATATGGCTGCGAAATTTTCCTCCTTGTTTTTGGCTTGAATGGAATATATTCTCACCTGCTGCTAAACTCCACATGCCTTGTTCTGATATTCATTTCGCAGCCTGCATAAAATGCTGCGGGTTGGCCACCTCAGGCTCACATATATTGTACAACTCATTCCACAGGGCTGGATGGATTGGGATTGGTAGGCCTATAAGAAGACTGTTGGCGGACCCAGTCTCCGTAAGGGGATAAGAGGTACAAGAAAAGTTGACTAAGATATGCACGAATGTTGAGCAATAAGACTTTCCTGATGCTGTTGTTTTCGAGAGCGTTTTCTTGTTACGCTGCATTAATCGCGCAAAATTTGGGCCTAGCGCGGGTACAGAGGAAGGTGAGCAGCTTTTGGCTGTACGTTCAGTGCGGCGTAGCTTTTGCTGATAACGTTTCAGCTGAAAACAAGGCGTAAGAATGCTAATTATTCGAGCGCTCGGGAAAAAGTTGGGATCCAACAATCGTTTCGTGTTCCATCAGAATTCGCCATTTGTTCTAAGAAAACCAAAAGTAAAACGTTTCAGTCAGCGCCCCGTCACGAGGATTTTTGATAAGACAGCTGATTTTTGCGAGTTCTGAAAATATGCGGCGGAGCAGCACTTAATGGAAAATGCAATCAACTACACCCATCCCATCAACTGGCACAATGGGTGCTCTCTTGGACGACGAGATGGTAAAGACAAATGTTGACCATACATGCTTCACACATCCTTTTCGTTTAAAGGGAGTGTTCCACATTTGTATGGGGGTTCGAAATGAAGTAGCCATTTTGAAGATAATTCCATGCAGCTTGTAGCCCCGTCCTCTTTGACCTAAAACCTCCTGGTTTCTGAGTTACACGCCCGCGAAAATGTGCGGGCTGTTCCGAGGTTACCCAGGCACCCATGACGCCGTAATGACGCAGTTCGAATCATGCCGTTCCACCAGCAATGCGGCGTCCAAGGCTGAGCGAAACATTAATGTCGGGCTCGGCCCACCTGTGGATGACGCATACAACCTGCCCCGAATAAACAGGGCGTCACGAGGATTCAGGATAAAGCAAGGAAGAGGATAAGAGGTTCGGGTGCTCTGACACCAATTACGCTTGTGCTTTATAATACAAGAAGTTATGCATTCCTTCTAGTTATTAGAGAAACAAGACTTCCAATCGAGCAACTTAAGAATAGCGTAAACTGGGTGCGTGAGTACAATTTAACAGCTTAGTCAGGGATAAATCAGTAAGCACACCATGAGAAAGGGGCAAAAAGTAAGCTTATAACGCTATGTGGCTCGGCGAAAACTTCAACCCCGTCTTGCCATCCCGCGGGAGATTGAAGAATTACAAATTAGTGTTGTCATACAAACGTTCCATGACGCAATCAGACTTTGACGCATTTGGGAGCACATATACTACAAAGGGAAATGTTTTTGCCTAGATCAGTCTTTCCACTTGAAAGGATATCAAGGGTTTTAATTGAGCTTATTCCATCATGTATGATGCTTCCTTCCATATGTTCAGATGCGGAACCCTTCCTTAATAAAATGGGCCTTGAGCCTTGTGATCTTGTGACAAAGGTTTAACCCCCCCCCCCCCCCCCGAACATAAATGAAAATGCCAGATAGACGTGTTTCATGGCGGTCACCAGATGTTCTGAACTATTGTTCGGACTTTCTCCATCTACATCTTCATCTCCATGTCAACCTCCGTCTTTCCATTCCTCGCTCCCGCTCCCTGAATATCATCCCCATCTGTTACTATCTCCCCCTCTCCCCATTCGTTTCCATCCGACTACCTCTCACTACTCCCACTCTTCAACTCCCAAAACATGTGAACAGAGCGTGCTGGCCACGCTCGCCGGCGGGTCCATCACGGCGACCGAGCCCTCACGGACCCCCCAGCCCACGGACTGAGCCCTCAGCTGTCCCTCAGCCCACCGACCGAGTCCCCACCGGCCCCTCAGCCACGAACCGAGCCCTCAGCTGTCCCTCAGCTCACCGACCGAGCTTTCGGCGGCCCCTCAGCCCACCGACCGAGCTTTCGGCGGCCCCTCAGCTCACCGTCCGAGCTTTCGGCGGCCCCTCAGCCCACCGACCGAGCTTTCGGCGGCCCCTCAGCCCACTGACCGAGCTTTCGGCGGCCCCTCAGCCCACCGACCGAGCTTTCGGCGGCCCCTCAGCCCACCGACCGAGCTCTCGGCGGCCCCTCAGCTCACCGTCAACGTGCCCGTGTTTGTCCCTCCGCCCAATTTGACAGTGAAGCCATTGTCCCAGGTTCTCCAACATTTCGGCGGCGCTGAGCACGTGCGGCGAGTTGCACGACAACACCACGCTGCCCTACTTCCAATGCCTCTGCTCGGGCCTGGTGGATAAGTACGTCGTCCGTGCCAAGTACTTCTTCTGCAAGAAAGCCGGCGAGCTTGAAAAGGAGGTGAGTGCCAGACACCGACCGCGATCACTAATGGTACGGCGTAATAGCTCGTTAATGTTACGCCTTACGGTGGATGTCACGTGTACCGTAGCTGCGCTCCTTTCACCATGTGATGACCACTGTGTGGCAGACGAGTGAGTTTGCGTTACAAAAGTTATCTTCGTGTGGCTTGTCAGCGAAGACAGTTGTGGGGGGGGGGGGCAATGAGATTGGCATGAGGCGGCAGTGGTATGAAATGGCATGGAACGTTAGTCTTGTGATAAAACTTATTCATTGAATTGTGATTGTCCCACTGGTGGAATCAGGGCAGGGACGCAGCCAGGATTGTCTGAGGGTAGGGGTGGGGTGTGGGGGTGGGGTGGGAGGCTTGGTGAGCACTTATCACGATCTTGGGATTGTTCTGGAGCTATCTTTGATGAAAACAAGAAAATGTGTGTCGAAGAGGGGGCTGCCCCCGCCCGTCTCCCTTGGCTGCGCACCTGGGTCAGGGCCTTTGCGTACGTCATGCTCAGCGAGGACTCCGCTCTCAAAGCTACGGCTTAAAGTGTCGAGTCATTGTTTTGCGGGTAAAATGTCCGATTTGTGGTTGCCCAGCTGTGCACGATGTGTCGGTGAGCGACATTTATGGAGTGGTTCTGCGGCGACGCAGATCTTGTTGGCGAGTAAGTTTGCCCCCATGAGCTGCTTTGGGGGGGCTGTTGCACGCTGGTTGATTTGAATGCATGTGAGGAATGACCGAGCCTTGCTCGTCAGGGTGGCGGGCTGACCCAGGATGTGGCCTGTGTCGGTGCTGACGGCACGTGGGGAGCGGCGCAGGCGTCGCGGCGCTACGATCCTCTCTAATGATGCGACTTTTGTATCCAGATTTGACCCCCCCTTCCCGCATACACGCATAGTGTACAATATGACGAGGGAAATGATAGAGACGTTTAACTGGAAAACTGTTAATTACTTTTAAAACATCACGCAATAAGGTTGGCCAAATAGCATGAAAACTGGATTTTGAATAGGCATGACCCGGCTGTTAGGCTGTTTTCTAGGCAGGGGATCGCTAGCCTGAATATAAGCACCGCGATTTGCTCGGAAATGTCCGAAAGCTGCACGTGACGGTGTTGGTTGGGGGGGGGGGGGGTGTGTACGGCGCCGAGACGGCCGGTTACCCTGTGGCGTGGGGAGCGTCCGCCCTCCAGCCTGACGGCACGCCGTCTGGCGCAGGCCTCGGCCGAGACCACGCGGCAGGTCGGCGCGACTATCGGCATCATCCTGGCCGTCTGCGCGCTGCTGGCCATCCTCATCTTCGTGTACAGGCGGTTCAAGCCCCAGGTGAGCTGGGGGCGAGCTGCGCAAGCATGCCACGCCGGACACAGCGAGGGCGGCCGAAGACCGGCGCAGCAGCACACGCGCTAGCTGCCAGCGTCGGTGTGATGCCCACGGCCGCCTGGTGACACATGGCTGCCAGCGTCGGTGTGGACCGCCCGCGGCCGCCCGACGGCACATGGCTGCCAGCGTCGGTGTGACGCCCGCGGCCGCCTGGTGACACATGGCTGCCAGCGTCGGTTGTGGACCGCCCGCGGCCGCCTGGTGACATATGGCTGCCAGCGTCGGTGTGACGCCCGCGGCCCGCCTGGTGACATTAGGCTGCCAGCGTCGGTGTGACCGGCCCGCGGCCGCCTGGTGAACCCACCTGGCTGCCACATGGCTGTCCAGCTGTCTGTGTGACGCCCGCGGCCGCCTGGTTGACATAGGCTGCCAGCGTCGGTGTGACGCCCGCGGCCGCCCCGACGGCACATGGCTGCCAGCACCGGTTGTGACGCCCGCGGCCGCCCGACGGCACATGGCTGCCCAGCACCGGTGTGATGCCCGCGGCCGCCCGACGGCACATGGTGCCAGCACCGGTTGTTACGCCCGCGGCCGCCCGACGGCACATGGCTTGCCAGCACCGGTGTGACGCCCGCGGCCGCCCGACGGCACATGGCTGCTAGCGTGGCCCGAGATGTGGGGGGGGGGGGGGGGGGGGGGGTGGCTGCGCGCGGTGCTGCATCAGTTGGTGTGGTTTCGGTGCTCTCGTGTGACGAACGCCCTGTGCCACCATTCTGGATGGAAGTAGTGCGTAAAACATTGCTTGCCAACAGCCCGGACGTGTGATCTGAAGCCATTTTGTTCTCCTTTCAATTTAAGCCCACCCTTATGAACTGTGTAGGTTGCGCCAGGTTAGCCTACTGTCCGGAAATTATGACTGATGAACCGTGCACTTGTTTACCAATTGCAGATTCTTGCGAAGACTCGGGCGGCATTCTCTCACTGTGGCATGAAGAACCACTACGACTCATGCACCCGGATGTTCTGCGTTTGCTGCCAGAAGCACTCAACCAAAGACTCGGTAACCACTGACCCGAGGGCTGTACAACGAACGCGCCTATAACGCGAGTGCTCCGATTCGGGTTCAATCCCCGTATCCAGCTGACCTATGCCGTGCTACGTTTCGGTGGACTTGGCCCAAACTCTGAGGACCTGGAGTCTTCAGACTCGGACACCAGCGACCTATCGACCAGCCACGGACACTAGGCACGAGTCTGAGACTGGCCGGAAGCCGAATCTATTTCGCGTTCACCGGCATCTTGGACTCGGACTCACGTGAATCGGTTCATTCTACAGATGTATCATAGCCAGTCTCGGGCGTCAGTGGAAAAAGTCAGGGACTCGAACCCACGTGAACATTGGCTAGGTTCCAACGTACTCGGAACTTAAAACATTCTACAAACCTGAGACTGTGATCCAGACTTAAACCAAAGGGAATCAGGACTCGACATGGTTCAGCCGAGACAGAACGCGGTCTCCATTCATTATGACATCTCTTTGATCACCTAGGTCGTCAGTCAGACCACGCATCAGTCAGTTGACTGAATTGTGAAACGCCGTCTTATTTTGACAAAAATACTCCTTGAAAGCATAATACGATTGACTTAATTGCCATGGTACCTGACACCTACTTCCATGCTCCGACACTTTTAGCCACCCAAAACCGCAATGCCCTATTCGCAGCCAGTAATTGCATTACAATTATTGTATCACGTGGAGGCAAAGACGGCGAAGTGCCAACTCAGCTCTATCTTGAGACGATAGGTGCTGTTGAGAGGCCCACCCGCACTCACACGCGGCGAAATAAAGAAACCCGGAATCCGATTTCGGTTCAAGGTCGTGGGAAAAAAGGACTCATTTGCAGCAGACCTGATGGATTCGGACTCGGCCCCGGTGATGTGGGTTGCTTCGACCGAGGACTCAGGCATCCGCACTCTGACAAGACCGTGCCCGATGCTTGTCGAAAATTCGGGGAAACCAGTCGTTTGGTCACATTGCTATCGAATTATACGATGTTTGATGATTTCACGTAAGGCTTCATAAAAGCGAAATGAAGCACATCAAAAGCGTAAAAAGTTTTTTTCCTTATCAGCCAACGGAGTACTCGAATTTTAAATCGATCAACGTAGACTTCGCCAATGTGTTGGTGCCCAACCTGGAGCTGACTGCAATCCTGCGCGGCGTCAAACTCTAGCGAGCGGCCGTACCACGCGGTCGAGTCGCAGCTCGCGCCTCTCGGGGCCTCTCCAGCCGGCCTGTGACGGTAGCGCCCGTTGACAGACGAGCATGGGAACGAACTGCCGTCCAACCAGAACCTGTCCGGCCAGCCCACCAGCCGCTGCGGCAACCTCTGCTATAGCGACGCCTGCCTCAGCGCCATGGAGTTCATCTGCGACTTGCGACTGCTTCCGCACGCGCAAGGCGCCCAAGTACATGGTGCCCATCCTTGGGTGAGTCGACGGCGCCGCGGAAATCCCAGCTGGACGGCGCGAGCAGCGGTGGACAGGAATCAAAGCTGCCAGAGAGCGGGGCGTGTAGCGATGGAACGCATCAGAGCTGCCCCGGGATCGGGGCAAGTAACGATGGACGCGGATCAAAGCTGCCAGGGAGCGGGGCGAGTAGTGATGGAAACGGATCAAAACTGCCAGAGGACTGGGAGAGCAGCGATGGACACGGATCAAAGCGGCCAGGTAGCGGGGCGAGTAGCGATGGACACGGATCAAAGCTGCCAGTTAGCGGAGCGAGTAGCGACGGGCACGGATAAAAGCGGCCAGGCAGCGGGGTGAGTAGCGATGGACACGGATCAAAGCTGCCAGGTATCGGGGCGTGTAGCGATGGACGCGGATCAAAGCTGCCAGGGAGCGGGGCGAGTAGTGATGGACACGGATCAAAACTGCCAGAGGACTGGGAGAGCAGCGATGGACACGGATCAAAGCGGCCAGGTAGCGGGGCGAGTAGCGATGGACACGGATCAAAGCTGCCAGGTAGCGGGGCGAGTAGCGGTGGACACGGACCAAAGCTGCCAGAGAGCGGCAGGACTGTGGTTGTGGGGAACACGGCTGCGATGAAAATACAGGAGATGGTCCTCGGTTTGATGGCGGCTCATGCCGTGTGAGGTCGGTAACTTCTTCCGAGCGTTTCAACTGTGTTGCCACCCCTCTGACATGCAGTATGTGGCATTTATGCCATACCGTAGTATGCACATATGTAAATGAACAACAGTTGCGAAGTTACGTGCCGTTGGGTGTGCAGGCGTGCGTGTGTCGTGTGGAACTGTCCCAATTACTTGTTACGAGGTCCGCGACCACAGCCGCCCCGGTCTTACTCATCTGATGGCATTACAGGAAGCCTCGGTCGCGGTCGGGTCAGCCCTCCAGCGAGCCGTCGGAGGAGCCCGTGGTGGAGCTGCAGCCGCCGCGGCGCATGCGCTCCGTGCGCAAGGCACCGCCGCCCGCCGATGCCGAAGATGCCCGACGCGCCCCGGCTTCGACCCGGACCAGAGGGCAGCCGGCACGTGGCGCCCGCCGGGTCCCCCGTACCGGCGGCCGACCGCGCCGCCGCCGCCCGGTCCGGCGCACCACGCGTACGGCGAGCCGCACGGACCTTCATCGTCGGCCATGTTCCAGCCGCCGCAGTACGACGACCTGTTCCAGGCTGGGCCGTCCGACCCGTCGCTGAACAGGGGAGGCCCCCTGCGCGTCTCCAAGGAGTTCACCGCCCAGCTGAACCAGGCCATGGTCGGCCGGCGCTGGCCCTCCGAGAGCGAGATATAGAGGAGCCTCAGCGGCGCTCCCAGTCCAGGCCCCGTGTCACACGAGCTTCCAGACCGGCCGGTCAGTCGGCCGTCGTCACGACACCAGCAGAGCCCACAGAGCCGGTCCAGTGCGTTGACCGTAATGCCGCCTCCACGGCCACACGCACCCGAAAGTCGTCAGCTTCGCGGACCAGGCGTCAGGCGATGGTACCGCCCGGAGGCGCTCGGCCTGTGCGCAGTGGCGGGGTCAGGGCAGTGACCTGATGGGCAAGAATCTCCTTGGAGGCACGGTGGTCTCGTGACGTCCGCCGTGCCCAGCGGTCCCCGTGCGTCGGAGGGGAGAAACATGGAGCGGGACGGAGGGGCGCGCTGCCGTCCTCGTGCGCGGCAGCGGCGGCAGCGGAGTAACGGCAGCAGGTCGCCGCGGGGCGCCTCTGTGTGCCGTGTCATCACTGAATGGTCGAGGATGTAGTGGACGTGGGCAGCTCTCTGTTAAAAAGAGTGGCCATCAGTGGAAAGGAATCTCTCCGATTCCACCCACCACTGCCGAAGGCTACATGTAGCACGCTTTTTATATCAGCATGTACCGGTGTGCGTTGCTCTGAACTCATGATTCGCCAACAAGGCTGATTGATGTGCGTTCTGGGAGGGGGCGAGGGAGGAGATGGCAAAATCTGACCGACCGCCCTGTTTACGCAAAATGTACCGCAAACTAAACTTTACTAGTAAACGACTTTTTGTGCATTTCCAACAAGGGAACGAGGCGTCAAGCAAACCGTAAAGCATTCGGCCAGCAACTGTTTTCAGATATAGCTTGGCAAGTCATCCCACGCCTCCCCCGCGCGGGCACCCACCGGCCATCGGACCACAGCGCCGAGCAAGCCCTCGCGGCACGACACAGCACAGCTGCCGTCGAACGGAGGTTCACGGCCGTCCAGAGATGCGTCTTCCCGACGAAGCTCTAGAAAGAGGCTGTGTTGCCGCTCGGACCCTGTCGCTGGCGCCCGGTTCGGATTCGGCCGCGCCATGTGGTTATCGTCGGCCAGAAGCGGGCGCCTTCGTTTGCCGGCCGGTCCGGGGGGGGGGGGGGGGGGGGGGGGCGTCATCGCAGCCATCGCCGGGGACGTTCCACGCGTCTGCGACTTCAGAGTTGTGACCGGATCGTCGTTGAATGTCCGCGTGCCCTCCTTGTTCGTGTCAAGTGCAGCATTTACGTTATAATGATGCGGCATTACTCATGTTTCATACGCTACGCCGCCAACGGACAATTTTTGCCGTCTAAACCTGTTGATGTCTAATACTGAGCCTTTTCGGGTGCGCTTCCCCACCGTCATATTTCGGCGCGCGGCCTTGTTTGACCTTGAGCTTATGTACCTTTGGTTAATGCGACTCAGCATTTAAGAAATTATCCCAGCATTGTCTCTGAAAATTGCCAGGCACCAGCGTTATTTTGGAGCGGTGATAGCATTACCCCCTCCCCCTCCCCTCCCGCCTCCATTCATGGTGTGCCATTCTGGCGGGTCCTCCAGGTCGTCTGTTAACGGAATGGGGGTACAAAACAAAATCCTGATTGCATACTACAGCGCACAGGCCACCCTCCTGGAAAAAAAACGGGACGAAACAGAACCGAAAGAGAAACAGAGGGAAAACGTAACACGTCTTATATGCATATGGCTCCAAAATTGCTTCCTATAGGCCGATCCGTCCCGTCGGCGTGTGCAAGGCTGTGTATCGCCATCCCGTAGCCGGTGACCGTGCGCAGCTCAGTGCCGTATCGTGCTATGTATCGGGAGCGGGTCCGCTGTGGACCGACTGCGGCCCGGTTCCGAAGGACGGTCACGCGAGTAATTAGCTTGTTTTGCAGATTGCGTTTTGTATGAATAGCTACACAGCCAACTTGCCCAGCGGGTCCGGTTTTACCACTTGGCTGAACCATGAAAGTGTGATTTTATGTCGTCGGGATAAGATGTTCGTATGACACTGCTGTGCAAGAGCCTTCCAACGACTAACATTTGAATAAATGACGAGGCGCCGCGCGAAAGCCTGTCACTCACCGCTCAGCGGCATACTGGTGACGTTATCGACCGTCGGCGAACATCTCAGGCTTTCAGTAGAAAGTAGGTAGGTGGCACGTAATCCGCCGGTGCCCGGCCTTCGGCGTAGACGACTGAATGGTGCGTGCGCGTGTGAGTGGGCGTGAGCTACATGACTGGCGGCACTGGAGTCGGCACTACTGACTAGGGGTGCAGGCAGAGCCGTGATAGGGGGGGGGGGGAGGGGGACAGAGCTGACAAGGGGCCCCTGATCGT